TTTCTGTTCTCTTGCACAGACTGTACACGTGTATTCTTGTTCTCTTGCACAGACTGCACACATGTATTCCTCTTCTCTTGCACAGACTGCACACATGTATTTCTGTTCTCTTGCACAGACTGCACGTATGTATTCTGGAGCAAAAACTGGGTTGGTGACTGATGTTCAGCGGGAGCAGCAGGATCTCAAGAAACAGGACCAAGACACCACAGCCCTTGGAGGTACAAACGAGAGCATTCAGGGGCCACTTCCAGCTCGTGTAGCTCTCTGTCTTTTCTGTTTTTAAGTGTGGCTTATTGTATTTGCGAGTTGAAACTTTTCATTGCTTCCATGTGTCTACTAAGGTTTTTGTGCAACACTCTAACCTCAGTAATCCAAGTGCTTCTTTCCCCACGATGTGCATATGTTGGTAGGAGCCACTGTGGCCTGACTGCAGAGTTCCTACCATCATGAAGGTCCCAAGCAGCTGGTCTTGAGTGCTAGAATGTTATTTGATTGTGATGCTTGGTGTTTATCTTTAAAAATGTGATTTCCCATCATAGCTCAGTTTGAATTCGCTGAAACGGTGTTTCGAGACAAGTCTGGTCGTAAGAGGAATTTGAAGCTGGAACGCCTGGAGCAGAGGAGAAAAGCAGAGAAGGACTCAGAGCGAGATGAGCTTTATGCCCAGTGGGGCAAAGGGTAAGAGCACCTCTGAGCACAAAGCTGATCTGGGGATGAGCCTCAGGTGCTGAGTCTCTGAGAGATGGTAGGCTCCTACCTTCAGCTGGGATTCTGAGCTTTTACACTATTAGCCTCTGCTGCTACAAAGAGGAAATTCTGCAGAGTAGCATTGCAGTCCCTCAATGTAGGAGGAAATGGTTACCCAGGATGCTTCTTTTTTTTGCCCAGGCTTGCCCAGAGCCGGCAGCAGCAGCAGAATGTAGAGGATGCAATGAAGGAGATGCAGAAGCCTTTGGCCCGCTATATAGATGATGAAGATCTGGATCGGATGCTGAGAGAACAAGAGAGAGAGGGGGACCCGATGGCCAACTTCATTAAGAAGAATAAGGCTAAGGAGAATAAGCACAAGAAAGTGAGGCCTCGCTATAATGGCCCTGCACCTCCTCCCAATAGATTCAATATCTGGCCTGGATACCGCTGGGATGGAGTGGACAGGTAGATGTGATTTCTGTTTTTCTTCTCTCTTCTGCCTGGCTCTTTTTTTTTTTTTTTTTCTTCCTTTGACACAAGGTTTCTCTGTAATGTTGGCTGTCCTGAAACTCGTTCCATATACCATGCTGGCCTTGAACTCAAAGAAATACAGCTGCCTCTGCCTTCCAAGTGCTGGGATTAAAGGTGTGCACCACCACCATCCAGCCTTCTTTTGCCTGCCTTAACCTTTCTTCTCTGTTTTTCTTTTTTCGCTTTTGTTTTTGAGACAGTGTCTCACTACATAGCCCAGCTGATCTCAGCTCATGCACCACCTCCCGAGTACTGGGAATGCAGGCATGGGAACCACAGCTGGCTTTGCGCCGTCTTAGACCATCTATGCTTGTCCCCACTCTCTCCTGCTTTGTGTGCGTCAGTTCTAAGGTTTGGGGTATTTCTCCTATTAGTTTCCATGTCCTTTCAAAAGCTCAGGACAAATAATCGAAGCAGTTCTGACAGGACACACTTTGTTTCAAACATTGGCCAGAGGATGGGCAAGGCTTGTGTGCTGCATCCTTCTCTGTGTTGTGTCTTTACCAGGAATTCTCTTCACTGTCCTAGGAGGAAGTCCGAGTCACGTGGTTACTTACTAGTGCCTCACTTGAGTACTCAAGAGGCTTCCTGACTGCCAGGACAGCCCCTGCCTACTGCCAGTCGCAGGTCCCATCTCAGGGCCCACACGGGACATTCAGAGTTGTAAATCTCAGGACCCTGTTATACTCTGTGCTAGTGAGATGGCTCTGTGGGTGAAGGCACTTGATGCCAAGCCTAATGATGTGAGTTCAAGTCTTGGGACCCATGTGATAGGAGAGCACTGTCTCTTGAAAATTGTTCCTTCCTCCACACACTCACTTAGTGTGTGTGCCCATATGAACAAGTATATAATTTTGAAAGAAACTATTGAAGATCCCAAAAAGCTTTCTATGTTGATTATATATTTATAGTCACTATATTAAAAATTTAAGTATATTTTTAAAGCATTTATTTACTGTGTAAAATAATAAAGCTCCTATATGCTAATATAATTACTATTACATTTAATGGAAAATAATTATTTTTCAACAAACCAAAAGGACAGAATTGATTTAACTTTTTGCAAATGTAATTAATGTCTAGCTTATAGTAGAGAGATAGATTCGGGATTTGTCTATTGTGACGTGTTTCGATGAGTGCAGGAGGGAAGTACAGCCTGCCATGTCACCAGCAGAAAAGGGAGGTATAAAGCAAAGAACAAAACCTAGCTCCTTACACTTTTATGAGGGTCTGAAACATGCAAAGAGCTTTTTGATAGTTTTGCATTAAAATTTATGGTCTTTGTGGCTTTTTTCTTTTCTTTGAGACAGGCTCTCTCTGTGTAGCCCTGGTACTCACCTGGAATTTTCTTATTATAGACCAGATTGGTCTTGAACTCAAAGACATCTACCTGCCAAGTTCTGGGATTAAAGGCATGTGCCACCATTGCTTGCATACATAATTTATAGTCTCTTCCCCCCCTCTTTTAAGTTTATTTTTGTATGTGGTTGTTTGCCTACCTTTATGTCTATGTGGGAAGAATGCTGGGGCAGCCAGAAGAGGGCATCCCCCGAGACTGGAATTAGAATAGGGTTCTGGGACTCACACGCAGGTCCTCTGGAAAAGCAGCCACTTAGTTATCTTAATCCCTGCGCCATCTCTCCAGCCCATGGACGTTTTATGCTTTGCATCTTTTGCCCATGCATGTATTATTGCATGTATTGGTCGTGTGTGACATGTAGATCTGCTGAGTTTTCAGACCTCCAAATGGTGACGTTTTCCCTGTGCACTGTCAGAAAATCACTTGGTGTACTGAGAAATTTCTCTGAAATGCACAATGGATTGACCCAGGATAGTTCCATATTCTTTTGAGTCTCCCTTGTGACTGTTGCACTTGATATATGTTCTGCAGTTACTTGGGAAGATTGCACTTTATAAAATCTGTTAGGCTAAGGTGGCATTGGAGTTTCCAAAACCTGTGGCCTGATGTCTTAGTTGTTTTCTGTCAGTTGCTATCAGTTGTGAGTGTTTTGTTTCAGCTGGTTTGCTTCCAGAATTCCCATTTGATGGTTTGCATATCTCCGCTGAGATTTCCCATCTGCTTACCAATTTAGAGACAGCTTTCTCTTTTTGGAAAATATATATAAATGGTGTTTTGAGTCCTTTCTGCTGATTGCAACATTCAATTCACAGGATTGGTTTCTGTTGATAGCCTATCGCTCTCTTCCTCCCCAATCTCTTCCCTCTGTTTTGGGGATAGGACCCCACTCTGTGGGCTAGTCAGGTTTAGAATTGGCTATGTAGTCCAGGCTGGTCCTGAGCTCAAGGGTCCTCCTGCCATAGCCTCTTGGATGTTGAAATTACATGCTGGTGACACCATGACTGGCTAACACTTTCACTGTAGGGTATCCTGTGCGCATGTATAGTAATTCCCCAAAGCTCGCTGTGAAGTTTGGGGTAGATAATTGGGTCTATCCCCTTTGCAGTGTCTCTGTCTCAGGATTTAATTTTGTAGCATCTCTTCCCGCTGCCACTAACACCTCAAGCTAGTCAGGCCATGGTTCTGCCTGTGGCCTACTTTTGCTGTGTAGATTGAGAAGTTGCCCTCTGGCAGAACGACTCCCATTGGATTTTTTTTCTTGCTTTAGTACTCATCCATGCCTTCAATCGCAACTTAATTTGTGCAGGTTTTATAATTGCTGTTTGAGGGTTGGAATCTACTTCCCACCTTATTCTGGCCTAAGGCGTTGTCTTCTGTCCCTCAGGTTGTTTCTGGAATCTAAGACTCCAGTTCTTGTGGCTAGGGAGCCATAGAGGGGCTGTGGTTGCTGGCTAGCTGGCTGCTGTGCTTTTCTGGTCACACTGCAGTTCATTTGGCAGGAGGGTGTTCCTGAAGTCTTACTTGCTTCATACCCAGAGGTGGTGGGTGGCTCTTGTTGAAGCTGCTGGCTGTTGCTGCTGAAGTGCTTACTATACTGTTCATTTCTCTGACTTTCTTTGCACACCAGACTTAGAACTCTGCAGACCTAGTTTTGTTGTTTGTTTGTTTTTGATTTTTTGAAGACAGGGTTTCTTGGTACAGCAGCCCTGGCTGTTCTAGAACTCACTTTGTAGACCAGGCTGACCTTGAAACTCAAAGAGATCTGCCTGCCTTTGCCTCCTGAGTGCTGGAATTAAAGGTGTGTGCCACCATGCCTGGCTAATCTAGTTTTATTATTATTATTATTATTCATTTAATCTTCTTTTCTGAGTATGCTGTTCAGTCATTTTGTCTCCCAGAGTTCTTGTGTGTGTGTGTATGTGAAGTGTGTGTATTTTTCGTATGTGTACAAATGTTTTGTCTCATAGGAAAAATAAATAAGAAAGGGGTGGCAGTGCAGAGAAAGAAGGGTGGGGAGGGAATTTGAGATTTGTGGTCCACTCACCATTTACTTAAACCTCACCCCTGAATTGGCTTCCATAGTGACCTGTTCTTGGTTCCTTGTCATGTCTTGACCCCATCTTGAATGACCCTTTCTCTGTTAGTCACTGGGGTTTCTCAGTTCTCCATCAGTAGCCCCTCACTGTCCTTCAGGCTGCCTCCAGCCGCTATCTGTCTGTCTGTCTATAGTTCCAGATCTGTAGTCTGACGCAGACTAGTGTGTTCATCAGCATGGTAGAGTCTTCTGTCCATGCATGTTTGAGGTGCCTCAGGTGCAGCTCACACATAGAGAGCATACTCCTCTACGCTTGCTTCCCTCCTGTGCTCGTTAGCCTGTGAGATGGCATCCCCATTTATCTGGTCATTTGGTGACTAACTGGTAAGGCACACTGACCTCCTTCTTTGACTGTGACTAGTCAGCCAAAATCCTGCTGATTTTGCCTCTCATGTCCCTGTTGCCATCCTTGGTATCACTGCCTTCCTCTGTTGCCCAGGCAGCTGTGGTAATTTTCTTGTCACACATCTCCAGAGTGCTGTCTTTGAAATGCAATTTTAACTCAACTTTCCCCAATGAAATGTTTTTTTGTTTGTTTCTGTTTTGTTTTTGAGATAGGGTTTTTCTGTGTAACAGCTCTGGCTGTCCTGGAAGTAGCTCTTGTAAATCAGGATGGCCTCAAACTCACAGAGATATGCCTGCCTCTGCCAGGTTTTTTTTTTTTTTTTTTTTTTTTTTTTTTTACCATGTCCTAATCTCACGGGGATTTGGCGTCCAGTGTTGACTCATGGCCACTCCCTTTGTCACACTCTAGGCTCTGTCCACACTAGTGAGCACTGCCCAGGCCAAGGGTCTTGTTCCTATGCCTGTGTATCTGTTGCTTTCAGACTGAGGTTTGGGGCCATTGTTTAGTCCTTCCTGATCCTTTTACTACCCTCCCCCATCTGTCTGTGCCACTTGTCTGAGTTTGTTAGAACAGGTGCTGTGTTGCTCTGCCACATCCATAGCACTTAATTTCCAGTGAGAGCTCAGTCATGCTTAAATAATGGAGTGTAGTAGGAGCTGAGGGCTGCGTTCCTGCCGCCTGGCTTCTGGCCATCTGGCTAGCTTATGCACCAAAATAACAAAACACAAACTGTATTCTTTTAAACACTGCCTGGCCCATTATATCTAGCCTCTTCTAGGCTAATTCTCACGTATTAATTTAGCCCATTTCTATTAAGCTGTATAGCACCGCTAGGTGCGTTTACCAGGAAAGATTCAGCATATCTGACCTGGCGGCTTGCTTCATTGTGTCTGGCTCTGAGAGGAGCTGCATGACATCTGAGCTCACTTCCTCTTCCTGCCAGCATTGTGTTCTGTTTACTCCATCCACCCATGTTCTAACCTATCAGGGCCAAGCAGTTTCTTTATTAATTAACCAATGACCTTCTTCCATCAATGGAGCTTGTGGACTAACAGCCGAGAGAGAGAGTTGAGTCTTTGTTTTTGGGCTGTGTATTGGGTTCAGCCTGGTACACACTAGGCAGGGGCTCTATCTCTACTACTGAGTTACATCCCCAGCCTTCATTTTACTGTTTTTTTTTTTTTTTTCCTGAGATAGCCCTGGCTGTCCTGGAACTCACTCTCATAGACCAGGCTGGCCTCAATCTCATAGAGATCCGTCTGCCTCTGCCTTCCGAGTGCTGGGGTTAAAGGTGTTCACCTTAGTGCCCAGCTATTTTACTATTTTTTTTTTTTTGAGACAGGGCTTCATGAAGTTGTTAGGCTGACCTTGGGCTCACTCTGTAGCCCAAGCAGGACTTGAACTTGTGATCTTCCTTCTCAGTCTTTGGAGTATCTGAGATTTTAGGCCTAACTGTATCGAGCCTTTGTAGGGAATAGTGAAGGTTTGAAACAATTCTTTAAGTGTGGCGATAGGTCTGAACAGGGACTGAGAAATGGTTAATTTGCATGTTTTGTTGCTTTGATGTTATTGCATATGTTTTAGTTGTATTCCCTTGAGTAGCTTCCCTGTCCACTTTAAAATAAACATTCTGGGTTCTGGCTGACTAAAACTTCTCTTTTGATTGCAGATCCAACGGCTTCGAACAGAAACGCTTTGCCAGGCTTGCCAGCAAGAAGGCTGTGGAGGAGCTTGCCTACAAGTGGAGTGTGGAGGACATGTAGCTTCTCCGAGGCTGTGCGGTGCTGTGGTGGTGGTGGTGGCACAGGACAGCCCGACATCCAGCTTGTCTTGCTAGACACAGACCAGCAACTCGCGGTCAGTTCTGACCTTTGGACTAGGCACCTACCCTTGGCTGTGTCCCTGCTGTCTGACTGGCTTTGGCAGGACACAGTGACTTCTCTATCCCAGGGCTTGTTCTTAGCCAGTGTTTTTCTTCTTATTTTTAAAAATAAACACATATTTATTTTTTGTAATCATTTCCTAACTGGGTATTCTGCTTGGGGAAGAATTCCAGCTAATATTGAAGTTCCTGGGGTCTTGGGAGTGTTAAGTGAAGGGTGTTTCCTTTATCTAGCCAGCAGTGTGAGTAAAACCTTCGGGAGTGGCAGTTGTTCTTCTGTGCAAATCAGAATTTAGTGTTAAAACAGGTTCAGGAATCCTGGAACCTGGTGTGTGATGAGGTAGTGGGTGCTACATGTTAGTGGGAAAGGTGGCTAGTGGGGCTCAGAAAATTGTTATTTTTATTATTGTATGAACAAAAGTGAAGTGGGTCCTAAAGCCATTATGGACCCAGATGAAGTTTAGTGCCGTGAAGCTGGAAGATGGCTCATACGAGGGGCCCTGGGCTTGTGACCCCAGCTGCGAGTATTAAAATCTGGTAGGAGCAAGCGATGGGTTGCACCCTATGTGAAGACAGTTCAAACCACAAGCTGTGATTGCTTTGACTGCTGCATAATGCAAGGTTCTCCCTTCAACAAAGCAGGTCACGTCAAAGCTAAAGATGCCTACAGATGCCGAGAAAGCATTGGCAGTCTAAAACAACAATGAGGGATTGCATACATGAAGGATCGACTGTGTGACAAACTGTACAAATCAGGAAGGAAAAGACAACTGAAAACTGGAAAAAAAAAATAGATAAATTGAGATAGCTAGTAAGGGTATTGCCTCACTCCCAGTTAACTAAATGCAAATTACACCATTTTCTGTTCTGCAGCTATTATTGTGGCCACACAGCTCTTGTGGAGAATGAAAACTCAGTGTCAGCCGGTGTTGGTTGAGGGCTGCAGATGGGCAGCTGATTTGGGAAGTAAGACTGGGAAGCAGTGCTATGTGGTCTTGTAAGGCTGGGCAGTGGCGCCATGCTGCTGGAAGCTGACTCTGGCTGTCCTTTGCTAGCAGGTGTGAGCTGCTTAACTTCTCTGTGCTGTAACTTCTGTGAACTAGAGAGGAGAGTACCTACCTCATGGGCGTACTGTGCATTTAAAAACGGCCTGGCATATAGTGAATGCCACAAAATTCTTAGCTGTTAGTATCATTGTTTCCATTAGCATTAAGTAGCTAGCTTCCAGGGTAGCTCTTTTGGTCCCTGCTCTCTGGCATTCAAGCCCTTGGGTAGTCCCCTGCCGGAGTAAGTAGGTCTAGCTTGTGTCCCCAATAGGATGTGTCAGAATCATGTGACTTCTGAAATTTCATAAAAGACATGGCTGCAGTCCCCTCCAGGATAGCTTGGTGTGAAGAAAGATGTCCTTCCAGTGGGCACTCCAGCAGCCCTCCAGGGGCCATGTGAAGGCAGAGGCCTTCTCCAGACCAGCAGCAAAGGAAGCTGCCTGGGCAGGCCTTAGGCGCAGCCCTCATCTATATAACTTGACCCAAGCCTGCAAAAGCAGAACCACTAGCTCTAGCTCTGGGACTCAAAGAAGCTGTGATGATGTTCAGTGTTTTCTTAAAACCAAAACCCCCTGTAGCTTTATTGAGATAAGTTACGTAGCATATGGTCCTTTCAGTGTAGAATCAATGTGTTTTAGCACATCTTGGAGCTGTGCAACCATCAGAACAATGGTATTGAAGTACTGTTATCGTATGGATACTGGAACCTTGTTTCCGTTCCTGGTCACTCATCACTCCCCTGACTACCTCTGCCCTGGACAACTCCTGGCTGAGTTCTCACCTCCCAGGATTTCTACTTTGACATTGTTGTCATGTGAATGCAGCTGTCCTCTAACGTGGCCTTTGTGTCTGGCTACTTGCATGTCACATGTTTCCCAACTTCAGTTGTGTTGCAACATCCCCTTCTCTCTTTTTGACTTGATATTTCTGTGTGGTTAGCACACACATTTTAATGACGATTTGATGGTTACAAAATGTTTCCACTTTTGATTGTTATAAATATTGCTGCAATGAATAACCGATATACAAGGTTTTTGGTGGGTGAATTTTTTTAGAAATATGTGTGTATGTATATATATGTACATATATATCATGTATGTATGTATGTATGATATATATACACAAACACACACATACAGACTTAGGAGTGCGGTCATTAAGTCATATGGAACTCCATGTTTTAATTTGTTGAGGAATTTCCAGATTTCTTCCCAAGAGTAGATGAGAGTTTTGATTTTTTTTTCCTGCATCCTTGTCTGTACTGCCTATTTTTATTACAGCTATCCTATGGTTGGAAGGTGGTAGATCTGTGATTCTGATTTCCATAATGGTGTTGAGTGTCTTTATGTATTTTCTTGTTTATTAAGGGACTTGTCCATTTTTCATGTATATATAAGGACCCTGTATGTGTATATACACATGTATATCATTTGTGTATAAATATGTGTGTATGTACTGTCTTAGGATTTCTGTTGCTGGGAAGAAACATGTGTGGCTATTCATGTGAAGGAAAACATTTGATTGGGGTAGCTTAAAGTTTCAGTGGTTTGTCATCATGGTGTTTAGCAGGCAGACGTGGGGCTAGAGAAGGAGCTGAAGGTTCTACATCTTGATCCACAGGCAACAGGAAGTAAACTGTGATACTGGTCATAGCTTGAGCATAAGAGACCTCAAAGCCCACCCCCACAGTGACACACTTCCTTCAACAAGGTCACACCTACTCTAACAAGGCCACATCTCCTAATAGTGCCACTGCCTTTTTTTGAGGTGGTCTCATTCTATAGCTCTGATTATTCTGGAACTTAGTATGTAGACAAGGCTGGTCTTGAACTGACAGAAATACACCTACCTCTGCCTTCTGAGTACCAGGATTAGCGGCCTGTGCCACTACACTTGGCTTGTGTATACTTTTCATATAAAAAGTTATTTCTGGAGTGTTGAAAGTGTGGCTCTGGTAGACTCAGCTTGTGCCATGTATAAACCCTGGATTCAATACCCCAAACTAGAATAATAAAGTAGATTTTGTATTTGGTAACTAGTCCCTCACCCCTACATGATTCTCATCTGTGAGTTATTGTTAGAAGCTGCTGCAGTGCCTGAAATAGGTTCCTGAAATAGGTAATTTGCATGAGGGGGCAAACATTAATTTGCTATACAGAACTAGATATGTAAGCAGAACGTGGTGGCCTGTGATTATGATGCTAGCACTTGTGAGATGGATGGAGGAAGACCAGGATCAGAGGAGCCTGGACCATGGGAGACCCTCTCTCAAAAACAAGCTAACATGCACACGAGAGTAGTTTCACTGGCTATGTCCTTTAGAGGAACATGTATGAACTAGTTACATATAAGAATATAGTTTGGAATCACTGTGTAGCAGAAATCAAGAAGTAAATTAATATAGGTACCTATTGCTATGGAAATTGACAGTTAAAAATTCTTAGGCTGGAATACCGGTTTTTGTTATTGAGTTGGTCCAGTGGGTAAAAGTCCTTACTATAAAGGCTGACAGCCTGAGTTTGTTCCCTGAGACCCACATGGTAGAAAGACCCTCCATACTCTCACATGCATACCTGCTCACAAACACAAAAAGCGTAATTTAAAAAAAGAACATTGAAGTCAGCCTAGGGTGGCCAGAAGTGCCCACCCACTCACCTGTGACACGTGGCACTAGAAGGACCAAATATGTGATAGAGAGATGAGAGAGATAGAGCACACAGTGGAGAGATGGGAGAGGAAAAGAGCAGTTGACTCGCTGTGGAGAGAGGTGGAGCTGGAACACCATGTGGTCTGGGTCTGTGGCCCTACTGCAGTTGGAAACTGTTACCACCAAAGGCCTTGTGGATGCCCATGGTCTGGGCTGACACCTAAAGTCATGTTGATGTTCAGTAACTTGTTGAGGTGGTCCTGCCCCTCATCAGCCACAGCACTTGGAAAAGCTGATCCTAGCCTCTTATTGGCACAGCAGTGTAGACAGATGTGTGTATGGCGGGGGCTGGGGGCAGGGAGGCCAGGCAAAGACCTGGACTGACCAACTCAGGTTCTACCTAGGAAAGTAGTTACCATACAAGAATAACCACCAGATGATAGGCATCCCTAAGGCTATACAGAAGTTAGCTGGAATCCTATAAAAGTTTAATATGTGAAGAGATTTAGAGAACCAGTTGTTTCAAAAGAGCTTGCAGTAGTATTTTTTTTTTAAAGAGTAGCAACAAATATCCCAAAAGTAAGAGATTTCAGTTTATAAAAAGAACTAATTGGATTCTTACACTGTATGAGGAATACCAATTTCTGAAGCCTCTACACATACTATACTGATGCGAATAAATCAGGAAAAGCAGGTCAGGAAAAAATAAGTCAGGAGAAATAAGTGGCTCAAAGCCCTTATTCTGTTCAAAAGTCAGAATTTTATGCTATTATGGTATTATGTTTTCCAGAACTTCTTAATATATTATTGACTCTCAATATGCATAGAGTTGTTTTACATATTGAAACCATTAAACTTATTCCATAAGATTCAAAATTAACTGTTAATTATTAGAATTAATATGTAATTAACCTTATTATGTTATTTATTCAATTACAAGAAGTGATCAAAAATAGAAATAATCATATATAACACATACTAAATCCCATACAGATCTAACAGGCCCTTTAGCACAAGGTAATGATGAAATTGATAAGCTGTTGGTAAGAAATGTGCTAGAAGTGTCAGAATTTCATAAAAAACACCATGTTAATAGCAAGGATTTGAAGAAATGCTTTCCTATCACTTGGCAACAAGTCAAGGAAATTATGAGGAAATGTCCTACTTGTTCTTTGTATAAACAAACTCTACTACCTGAAAAGTAACCCAGAAGATACCCAAAGAAATGAAATTTGGCAAATGGATGTTTTTCATTTTATGGAGTTTGAAAAATTAAAGTATGTGCTCTATACCATAGATACATATTTAACATGTCAACGGGAAACTGCTTTGAGTTCTGAAAAGGTTGATTCTATAATTAAACATTTATTAGAAGTATGGGCATTATGGGAAATCCTCTATAAATTAAGACTGACAATGCTCCAGCATATGT